GGGTTTAGGGTTTAGGGTTTAGGGTTTAGGGTTTAGGGTTTAGGGTTTAGGGTTTAGGGTTTAGGGTCTTGGGGCTTTGGGGTTTAGGGCGTGTAGGGTTTAAAGACCTTGCCTGAGTACCCCAAATAAGGCTATAAACAGTTATGACGATAGCTGCCCCACCTTTAACTACCCATGAGCCTGCAACTAGGGCTTAGGGTTAATGGGTTGAGTCCAGGGTGAACTCTTGAGTGGTCTAGGCCTACTGCATAGTTTGCGACTGGGGTTCGACCCAGTTTACAAAAGGGATGGATATAATCTACAGCACAACAGGGGATGTAAATCAGGGTTTATAGGGTTTAGGGCCGCGCTGATAACCAGCTAGGAATTAGATTCCATGGACCTTCAGCTAAGTAAAGGTGTGCCTTCCTCGTCGTAGAGGCCCGGGAGTTTAGGGGTTTCGGGGTCTCGGGTTTGGGGTTTAGGGTTTAGGGTTTAGGGTTCGGGGTTTAGGGCTTCCTTGCAGTACGCCGTGCGTTGCTGCCCATCCAACCCCCCGTGCCCTACATTGTCTGCGCTCTGAGCTCTGAGCTTCTTATACCACCAATGTACATCCCTAAACCCTAAACCCTAAACCCTAAACCCTAAACCCTAAACCCTAAACCCGTCTAAAGACTCTGCAGTCAGTTCAGGCTGAAGTCCAGTGTACAGAATCCATTGATCGACAATTTGATTGGAAACATTAGCTCTTGCAAGATGTTTCCAAAATGTTCATTGAGAATTCATAACGCACATAGGATAATCTAGCATCTTTAGATTTGGGAGTTAAAGGTTCTTTGCTATCAGAGTCGTTACATGATTTTCGGGCCTTAAACGGGGACCCCTTAGAGGAGGTAAGGCACCATATTAAGGGAGCATATAACTACCCTTAGAGGGCTCTACAGTCGCAAAGCCCTAGCCGTAAGTCCCCTGCACCCTTTCTTAAGGCTTCACCTGGCCTTCAGTCTTAGGTCCTGGGCTTAGGGGTGTCGGGTTTAAGGTTCAGGGTTTAGGGTTAAGGGTTTAGGGATTCACGTCCTAGGGTTCGGGGTGTAGGGTTTAAGTTTAGGGTTTAGACGAGAGTTTAGGCTTTGAGGCCTATGGAAACTCCCACAACAGGCAAGAAATATGGTGTAGTAGGGATCAGGATGGTCTTTGGGCGCCCTCTCTGGAGTTATCCCTCGAAGTACAAGCCCTAAACCCTAAACCCTAAACCCTAAACCCTAAACCCTAAACCCTAAACCCTAAACCCTAAACCCTAAACCCTAAACCCTAAACCCTAAACCCTAACCCCTAAACCCTAAACCCTAAACCCTAAACCCTAAACCCAAACCCTAAACCCTGAACCAGACATTCAGCGGCCGAAAAGTGCTAGAATTGCTAGAACCCTCTTCACTAGCTCGGAAGCCCTGAACCCTAAACCTCTTTTGCTGCTTGCACAGCAGGCTCTGTTTGTCGCGCCGCAGGCCTGCGCCAGAGAGCCGGCATGCGGCTGGGGTTTGAAGTTTGGGTTTTCGGGAAGATACCGACAGATGCTTTAAAAACAAGGGATAGACATTGGAAAAGAAGTTCGGGCGGCTTCAAGACTTGCTCTTGCTCACGATCGCGTCGAGGGTCGCGATGGGTTTGGGGCTTCGTGGGACTCAGGGTGAATTGGAAACACCAACGCCGAAGAAGGAAAGCCAACAATCTTAGGCAGTTTCATGGTGCCTGAATATGGGCCCTGAAAAAAAGACGCACCCTTATATACCCCGTAAAATCCAAGCAGGGCCCATACTTCAGAACAAGGGAGGTAGGAGACCATAATCAAGGGGCCCATGTAATACTACCCTTCAGACCAAAACAAGCAGAGACCCTCTAGAAGCCTCCTAGAAGCCTCCTAGAAACCCAGGTCCCAAACTTGCAGTAGGCCTAAAACCGATCGCTGGCAGAGCCTGTGAGAGCATGGCCCCGGCATGACCTGAGCACCAGCATGGGCTTCGGATTTAGGGGCTTATAGGTCTAAAGGGCGTATACACAATGCATCCAAGCAGGGGCCTTGAGATCGCTCCTGGCTCCTACCAGGCAATTTGAGACATCAGGATCTGCATTAACCCTAAACCCTAAACTTTAAACCGTAAACCCTAAACCCTAACCCTAAACTCTAAACCCTAAACCCTAAACCCTAAACCTAAACCCTAAACCCAAAACCCTAAACCCTAACGGCGTCTCTATGCAGAAGCCTATGATGCGAATGTTTGAGACACTGCTGCTGGCGGCCTAGGCAGCCTCAGCTATCACAACATCGGGCGACAGCTCCAAAACCGAGCTCACAAGAAGGGCTCGGGAGGTGTGCTGAAAACAGGCCGCTGAGAGGCCAAGCCAGCAAAGTAACTAAACCCTAAACCCTAAACCCAAAACCCTAAACCCTAAAACCTAAACCCTAAACCCTAAACCCTAAACCCTAAACCCTAAACCCGAACCCTCCGAGGGAACAAAGGAGCACTGGGATGAAGGGAAAGTGTGAGAAATCCGAAGAATCCTTGTAGAGGCATCATCTTGCCCTTAGTTGGCGCTACTTGGGATGTTCCCCCTTAAACCAAGAGTCCTTGATAGGGATTATTGTGCCCCCAAGTAGAATCCCTAGAAAGGACTGCTAGTGTAGCGAGGGGAACGTCCCAAAGCGTTACCTTTATACTTACTTCTAGTAGCTACGTACGAATTCCCGCGATCCTCCGAGGACGCAAGCCAGGCAGCTTGACTACATGAGGGGGGGGGGGGGATACCTAACGAGAGCTTTGGGGGTTCCCAGAATAAGTCGGAGCCTTCTTGTTTTGAAAAAACATTGTTTTATGAAAAGGGTACCCAAAAAAGGGGACCATCTAAGTCTTTGGGCCTTTTTGATTTGAAAACAAAGGTTTTATGAATAGGGTACCCGAAAAAGGGACCATCTAAGTCGAACCACTGCTCACATGTCACCCTAGCAACAGCACTTCCGAGGTGCCCGCATCGCCACCGCCATCAGCCGTATCTTTGCGCCCTGCGCAGCTGCGGCGCCGGGACGGGTTTAGGGTTTAGGGTTTAGGGTTCAGGGTTTAGGGTTTAGGGTTTAGGCCTACAAAGAGAACTTTGAGGCTAAGCCCAAACCACCTCTTGGGGTTCTTGTTGACATAGCCCTACTTAGAACCACCCAAACTCCAAAAGCAAACAGAAAAAGACCCAAAGACACACACACACACACACACACACACACACACATATATATATATATATATATATACATATATATATATAGACACACACACACACTCTGGGACTGTCTTCATAAGCCTGAAAACCCCAAATGAAAGCCCAAACCCTCAAGAACATCAGGAAACCCTAAACCCCAACCCCTGAGACCCTAAAGCCCTCACACCCTACGGCCACAAAACCAGAAGCAGACCGCCCTAAACCCTGAAACCCTAACACAAAACCCCAAACCCTTAGAAACATCTTAACACCCTAACTTAGGATCCTCAGAGCGTAGGTTCACGGCCTAGGGTACAGGTCTCCTTTTCCAGTTCTTGACAGGGCATGAGGGAACTAGGTGCCTTATGCCCTCCCTGTACAATTCTTTCGGGTTTTGTAGGGAACCGAAATCCCAAGTTCCCAAGAGCCACCAACCCAAACCCGAAATGGATGATCACAGCTACGCCATGAGAACGGCTTATAGGGCTTCAGGCTCACTGACGCAGTGGACGCCGATGACGTCAGTGAGCATCGAACCCTAAACCCTAAACCCTACACCCTAAACCCTACACCCTAAACCTTAAACCCTAAACCCTAAACCCTCAGGCGCGGGCTGATAGCTCTGGCTTGAAGCCACCGCACGCCTCGATGATCCGAAGGTGCATGGTAAATCCTAAACCCTAAACTCTGAACCCTTTTCAGGCCTGGAGTTAGGGTGGGGCTTAGGGAGGTTGGGAGGGTTGAGGGCATGGGGTTGAAAGGTTTGGAGAGCCCCAACACATCGATCAAGGTTGGTTTAGGGTTTCGCGTTTCTAGGCCACGAACCCACCAGAGCACCCGAGACCAAGGTGCTTCTTAGGTAAACCTGTTTCTTGTTGGGGGGGGCCATCCATGCTAAACCCTAATTCCTAAACCCCTAAACCTAGGGGTTGTGAGGAACCCCTGTACCCAAAAGACTCTAATCGGGACACTTAGGTGCTGTACCTCTAATGAAAGCTGCACCAAATTCGGGGTCCCTTGGTTAGGGTCCCCAAAACAAGGATTCTAGTCTCCTGGTGTCTGCCCTAAACACTCTACACTAACCCTGAACCCCCAATGTTGGGGAACATACCCACACCACACCTGAGCTCGCACTGATGAAGCTGCTACACCGAGCAGGAGACGGAAAGTACTTCTGCCTGTCGAAGCGCCTGGCAACAATCATGGGATCACAATGGCATGCCATGGGATGTCACCAGCGATAAACCCACCGTATTGGGATGGTGGACTGCCTTACGGTACCACAAATGCAAGCACAAAGTGAATCATGGAAGAGCGCGCCCGTATTCAATTTCAGTGCTCCCACCAGCATATGAGCGGACACCATCTTGCCGTTTCGCAAGGGTCGACTGCGACACCTGTGTGATCAAAAGCACACTCGAATCTCGCTTTCATCACTATAGAGGCTTGCAATGGCTTGCACATAGTGGCAGCAGAGGCTGCAATCTTCATCAGGCTTGCAGGACACACTCGGAATCACAGCCGCGGCAGAGATGAGCTTTGAGCTCTGGCACGGGTCGACACGTCTCAAAGTTTGTCTTTACCCTTCCAAACTCCGAAAAATTCTTGGCTACACTCAGAAGGGTAGCTAAAAATTGAACTTTTAGCTGCCTTATTAAGAAACCCAATAAACCCAAAAAGGCTAAGGATCTAAAGTTACAATAAAGTACCACAAAGAATTGAGCCCAATGGCAACAGAGGAGGCGATTTTAAAAGAGGCTACAGGAAAATGGACATCACGACGGCCAAGAGCCCCAGATGCGAAGATGTCGCTGCCGTTCTTTCAGAAGTGCTTGCTCCATCGCCTGGGAAGATCTGCTGGCAAATTCACTGACCTCCTTCTCTACATACGGGTAGCCCTTTCGTTCCAACCAGGCCACTTCGGCTTTCTGTGAGTTCCCAAGGCCCTCCGATGCCTCCAGGAACTGCCGGTCTTCCCCACCAAGCCAAGCTAGAAAGAGGCGATGCACCTCCCGCGAGAAGGGCGAAGAGGCATCCGGGCCTGGCTCAGCCGACAGGTGCTTGAGGCCGGCCTCGAAAGCCTTTCGGAAATCCTCTGAGTTCTGGAAGTCGGCCCTTCGTCTGGAGATCTGCTCACGACGCAGATGCTCCTGCCCTGCTGTCGAGAAATCCTTGACTTTGCCTTCGCCTCTCTTGCCGTTGAAGTAGTACACGACAAGGGTTGCGCCCTGCTCCACCGCCAGCTCAATGTTGGCGATCCATTTGGACCACCATCTGCAGCCCCATGGCTTCGGCTCACCGTAGAGCGGAGTGCACCAACACGGGCCCTGCAGGTCCAGCAAGTCCGCAGGAATGGGATCGTGCAACCCGAAATGCTTCGAGCCTTCCGGCAGGAAGACTACGGCAGCGCTGATGTCATCTTGGCGGCTGTCATCCACGAGGGCATCCCACGCAGACGCATACTTTCCCGGCCACGAACACACCGTCTCCTTGCCTGGGAGCACGTTTCCTTCGAACACAATGGTGCGCTCGTGTGTAGTGTGGACAGCTGCATCCAGGGACTCTTCCGGAGGCCGAAGAAGGAAGTGTGTAAGACTAAATCCGCATTCGTGAAGTAGGTGAAGCGGCCACATACAGGCAAAACAAAGAGCACTGCGCGGATGGTCCGCGAGCCAACTCCACACGCAACCGAAGCACGTCCAGAGGATCGGCAGAGTCCACATAAGGGCCACAGGCAAGCCATAGCCATCCATGGTCACAGTCATGGCGACCATGCAGAGGAAAGCAACGAAGCAAGAGAAGAATATGCAAGCAAGAAGTGCTGGAGCGCCGATATTGTCGAAGGAGACACTGGACCGGTGGCCCTGGAGCTCCGGCCGCGCAGCACGAATCGATTCTTCCAGCTGAGAAGAATCAGAAGGGGAATAATAGAGTGCTCGGTTCGGATCACGTGTACTCAAGTTCTCGATCCCGCCACTAGCGGCAAAGAGTCCAGCCTTTCCGACGCAGGCGCAACACCACAGCCCCAGGAATGCCGCCCCGATCCCCATGGCTTGCGGCTGGTTCTCCGGCGCGAAAGATGCCACTGCCAACATTGCACTGAGGATGATCAAAATGAAGAGGGAGATCCACATGATGGCCCATCGTTGTCTGCGAACCATAGATCGACCGACTTCCGCACTCAAACGCCTGTCGTTCTCTTCCTGTCGCTTCTTTCGCCGTTGGCTTTCCAGCCACGCTGCTTCCTCTTCCTTTCTGATGTATTCCGCAGCTTTTGTAGAGAAATCTCCAAAGTGCTCCGACAGCACGTGCACACCGCGCACCAGAGGGCACCTTCCACAGACTGCGGGATCATCCCGCAACCGCGCTGAGGCTGGATGGTCCTGGGGCGCACTTTGCAGACTTGCTGTGGGATAAAGGACCTGCCACCCGGCCCCTTGTCCAAGATCTACTTCGATGGCAACTCTCAGATTGTTGGAAAGCACACAAGTCTGCCGACGATCCTTGACCACCTTTCCTGCTCTTCTTTCTGCGAAGCGAGCACAAGGACATGAAAAGGGCGAGCACGGCATCCCGCTCGCAAGAAGCTCCGACATTTCGCGGCACAGCTCCTACCAATTGCACATAGTTTATGAAAGGAAGCATGTTCGAATGTTGTGGGATACTCATTTTTGCACTTGGAATGTGGCACCTAGCATCACGTAATTGACCATGTTCGGCCTGCTGCGGAACGTATCTTAAGCACACCTCCTCACCTTGGACCCAGCGAGTGGAGGCCTTTCTCCTCCTGGTTCGCATCATGCAAGCGCTCGCGTCACATACGCATCCATGTAAACCAGTATCGATGCTTTCCCGCCCTCGACAAACCGACCGACGGACGAACCGAAACAAGTTCCACAGTCGGAGGTGGGTCCGCGAGTACGCACCGAACCTCCACATGCAACGATCAGCAGTTGAGGTTTGAAGGTTTTGGATTTAGGGTTAGTGGGTTTTGCCCTCCTCGAGACTCGGCCTACCAAACCCTGCTACCAGCCCGACGGAACTGCAAGAAGAACCCTCAAACCCCAAACCCAAAACCCTTAAACCAAAACAACGAAGACCACCCAAACCCCAAACACCCGTAAACCCTAAACCCTAAACCCTAAACCCCAAACCCTAAACCCTAAACCCTAAACCCTAAACCCTAAACCCTACGTACTCTCTGCACAGCTCTGGGAGCCACACTTGGGGTCGAATCCCAAGGTCCCCGGGGGTGCGAAGCCCTTCTCGGGCTCGCTGTCCGAGTCCCACCTTTGGGTGGGTTTAGGGTTTAGGGTTTAGGGTTTAGGGTTTAGGGTTTAGGGTTTAGGGTTTAGGGTTTAGGGTTTAGGGTTTAGGGTTTAGGGTTTAGGGTTTAGGGTTTTGGGTCTTGGGTCTTGGATTTTGGGTTTTGGGTTTTGGGTTTTGGGTTTTGGGTTTTGGGCTTGGGATTTAGGGTTTGGGGTTTGGGTTTAGGGTTTAGGGTTTGGTTTGGGGTTTAGGGTTCTAGGGTTCTCGGGTGTAAGGTTCTAGGGTTCAGGGCTTAGGGTGCTTAATGGTGTTTACAGAGCTCAGGATGTAGGTTTTTTGGGGAGTTTTTAGGGTGTTTAGGGCTTTTAGAATTTGCTGTTGAGGCGTTTTAGGGCTTGGGGGTTTCCCAATGTCTAGGCTCCCTCAGACGTTAGAGGGACAATCAGCAGGAAGAACAGCGCAATTTAAAACCAGCACGCAAGCCCCATGAACCCTAAACCCTGAAGCGTCGTTCAGCCCCAAGACGTTTTCTGGGTCCATAGGGTAGTTACTTGGCTGCACTTAGCAGGGTAGCTATAAATGATTTTTAGCTGCCTTATTCAGAAACCCAATAAACCCAAAAAGGGTAAGGATCTAAAGTTACGGTAAAGTACCACAAAGGTTACAGGGGTGTTTTAGATTTTGGGGCTCCCTTTTGAAACAGGGTTCCTGCCATTGCAGCTGGTGAGATCATGCCTGGGACCCTGCCTGATCGCTCATGAGCCTCCACTTTTCCTCCTACTTGACAACCCTACTTAGCAACCCGGACCCCTCAACCCTAAACCCTAAACCAAAAACCCTAAACCCTAAACCCTAAACCCTAAACCCTAACCCCTCAACCCTAAACCCTACTACTGATGAACTGCCTACTCAGACCCCCGAAGCTCCAAGCACAGTACCGCAACGGCAGCTGGGAGGGAGGCGCTCCGCCGGCCAAGAATGGTTCCGTCTGCAGGCAAGGCGAGGGTTTGGGGTTTGGGGTTTGGGTTTGGGGTTTGGGGTTTGGGGTTTGGGGTTTGGGGTTTGGGGTTTGGGGTTTGGGGTTTGGGGTTTAGGTTTAGGGTTTAGGGTTTAGGGTTTAGGGTTTAGGGTTTAGGGTTTAGGGTTTAGGGTTTAGGGTTTAGGGGTATCCAGCTTAGAAATTATTGAAAGACCGGGCTTCAGAGGCCCTAGACCCCAAACCTTAGGGTCTAGGGTCTTGGGTTGAGAAAGTAGGGTTTTGCATTGCAGGTGTTGTGGCCAAGGCTCCGCGAAAGCATGACACCCCTGGCAGACCCTAACGCCCCAGAAGCCCTGAAAGCCCTGAAGCCCTAAAAACCCAACAAGGCCCCTAAACCCTAAACCCTAAACCCTAAACCCTAAACCCTAAACCCTAAACCCTAAACCCTAAACCCTAAACCCTAAAAACCTAAAGCTGCAAACCCCAAAGCACCCAAACTCTGAAACCCTGAACAAACTAAGACACCCCAAAAGCCCTGGGCCTTCACCACCTCGAACTCCTAAAGCCCTGAAAACCCGAAACCCTAAAATCTTAAAACCCTAAAACCCTAAAACCCTAAAACCCTAAAACCCTAAAACCCTAAAACCCTAAAACCCCAAAAACCCTAAAACCCTAAAACCCTAAATCCTAAACCCCAAACCCTAAACCCTAAACCCTAAACCCCAAACCCTACAACCCCACAACCCCCTCCCAGGGCCGCCTCCTTGGGCGAGGCGCTGCCGCGCTGTGAAGCACAGACCGCGAAGGTCTCGGAGGCTTTGGGCACTTGGGGCTTTTGGGGCTTTGGGGCTTTGGGGCTTAGGGTTTAGGGCTTAGGGTTTAGGGTTGAGGGGGTTTAGGGTTTAGGGTTTAGGGTTTAGGGTTTAGGGTTTAGGGTTTAGGGTTTAGGGTTTAGGGCTTAGGGCTTAGGGTTTAGGGTTTAGGGGGTTTTGGGTTTAGGGTTTAGGGTTTAGGGTTTAGGGTTTAGGGTTTAGGGTTTAGGGTTTAGGGTTTAGGGTTTAGGGTGCCTAGTCTGGAGGCTTTTGGGCACTTGGGGCTCTGGGGCTTGCGGTTTAGGGTTTAGGTTTGGCAGGGTTTAAGAGTTTAGGGTCTATTAGGGCTGGGGGTGTAGGCTTTAGGGTTGGGGGTTTTGGGGGGTGTTGGGCTTAGGCTGTAGGGTTTTGGGGCCGTCGGCTTGCCGGAAGGGTGCTTACTTGGGTTTAGGGGGTTTAGGGACCCTAAACCCTAAACCCTAAACCCTAAACCCTAAGCCCTGAAACCCTACAAAGATTCTTCATGTCCTCACAACCCCACAGCCTAAACCCCCCCCTAGCAAGCCTAAAATCCCTGACAAGCCCTAGCAACCCCATACTAACCCTGAAACTTTACTGCCTGCGTGGAGGATCTAGGGGACTTCGTTCAAAGATCCCCAATTTGGGCCCTTTGGGGTGCTTTTAAAATGCGAGCTTGTACCTGCTTGCTGAGTCCCCCTCCTCCAAGTAGGACCACCTATACCCTCAACCCTGAACCCTACATACGAAACCGAAATCCCCGAAAAACCTAAACCCCAAAAAACCCTAAACTCAAAAAACCCAAAACCCCCCAAAAACCCTAAACCCCCAAAAACCCAAAAAGCCCCAAACGAAAACCCCCCAAACCCCTAAACCCCCCCCCCCCCCCAACCCCAAAAAGCCCCAAACCCCAAAAGCGCCAAAACCCCAACAAAACGCCAAAACCCCAAAAAACGCCAAAACCCCTAAAACCCGAAACCCTGAACCCCAAAAGGCCCCAAGCCCAAAACGCCCGAAGCCAAATGTCGAGGCCGGTACAAGGCAGCTCACACAGAGTGCCAGCCCGATGGCCTGGGGGTGTGGGCTTGGCTTTGAGGGTCTTCTTCTACTTCGGGTTTAGGCTTTGGGGTTTAGGGTTTAGGGTTCAGGGTTTAGGGTTGAGGGTTGAGGGTTTAGGGGGTTTAGGGGGTTTAGGGGGTTTAGGGGGTTTAGGGGGTTTAGGGGGTTTAGGGGGTTTAGGGGGTTTAGGGGGTTTAGGGGGTTTAGGGGGGTTAGGGGGGTTTTAGGGGGAGGTTACGTAGGGGGTTTAGGGGGTTTAGGGGGTTTAGGGGGTTTAGGGGGCTTAGGGGGTTTAGGGGGTTTAGGGGGTTTTAGGGGTTTAGGGGGTTTAGGGGTTTTAGGGGGTTTAGGGCGTTTAAAGGTTTAGGTGGTTTAGGGCAGTTAGAGTTTAGGGTTTAGGGTTGAAGGGTTTAGGGTTTAGGGTTGAGGTTGAAGGGTTTTTAGGGTTTAAGTGGGGTTAGGGGGTTTAGGGGGTTTAGGGGTTTTAAGGGGTTTAGGGGGTTTAAAGGGGGTTTAGGGGGTTTTAGTGGGGGTTTAGGGGGTTTAGGGGGTTTAGGGGGTTTTTAGGAGGGTTTAGGGGTTGAGGGGGTTTTAGGGGTTTAGTATGGGGTTTAGGGGGTTTGGGGGTTTAGGGGGTTTAGGGGGTTTATGGTGTTTTAGGGTTTAGGGGGTTTAGGGGTTTAGGGTTTAGGGGTTTTGAGTGGGGAGTAGAGTTTAGGGTTTAGGGTTTAGGGGGTTTAGAGTTTAGGGTTTTCGGGTTTCGGGTTTTAGGGTTTAGGGTTTAGGGTTTAGGGTTTAGGGTTTAGGGTTTAGGGTTATGGTTTAGGGTTTAGGGTTTAGGGTTTAGGGTTTAGGGTTTAGGGTTTAGGGTTTAGGGTTTAGGGTTTAGGGTTTAGGGTTTAGGGTTTAGGGTTTAGGTTTGTAAGTCGACTTCGTATCCCCTAGAAGACCTTTGATAATAATCCCCGCAACCTAACTTACTAACCACGCAAGTAGGTGCTCCTAAACAGGGCACTATCTACCGAAACTAGGGTCTAGGGTTTTGTGTGTCGGGCTTAAGGGTTTAGGGTTTAGGGTTTAGGGTTTAGGGTTTAGGGTTTAGGGTTTAGGGTTTAGGGTTTAGGGCTTAAGGTTTCAAGAGCATTCTGTCTTCTAGGGCTTCATGATGCCGGGTCTGGCGAGGCTTGTCTCCCGTCTACATACTTTGGGGTGCGGGACGGTTCAGGGTTTAGGGTTTAGGGTTCATAGGGTATAGGGTATAGGGTTTAGGGTTTAGGGTTTAGGGTTTAGGGTTTAGGGTTTAGGGTTAGGGTTTAGGGTTTAGGGCTTAGCCTGAGCGCAGCCAAGTTGAGAAGGAGCCAAGCCCCCAAGGAGAGCAGAGGATTGAAGGTCTAGGTTTTGGCATGGGATGTCAAGTTTTGTTGTTGCCCGCTGTTGTTTGGGTTTCGGTTTAACCCTG